GGTAATCCTGAACGAATTTTTGCAGTACGGTATTATACTTCAATCTGACATCAACTGAGTTGAAGGAAGGTAAATTGGAAACTGCAAAGACCTTTTCTTCTTCTTTCTTTGGCTCTAGACTAGGACGAGAACAGCCAGAATTTTAGTGAGCGTGCCTAATTTTACTGTTTAGTTCAGTTCAGTTCAGTTTATTGTTTTGCCATAAGTTGTACAAAAACAAGAAAATCTAATTATTTAAAACGCTAATGACGAGAAAGCCCAAGGGAAGCCACAGGGCTTATAAGGAATGGGCTCCCTCAGTTAAATTAGTAGAACAAAATATTATCATAATTACACATGCACAAATCTATGGCAGAGCTACAGTATTTAGCTTTTTCCTGTCCCTTTTTTTGGCATATTTCTATGAGAAGGTTTTTGCAATTAGGTGTATGAATCAGATGGACAGATATGTGGGGAAAACTAGCGAGAAAAACTAAGTGACAGGTTCACGATTTCTATGTTCGTCACGGAATTAAATCATGAAAGTATTACCCGCAAACAGAAAACTTACTGAGATCTGACGTATAGTTTAGTGCGCGGGCGTCCTCAGGGGAACATATGGCCTTAAATCTTGGCGGTTTACATCGCCAAAACTGTGGAATTCAATACCTGATTCATGTAGAACGATACGATTTTAAAGGCTTTTGTAGACACTGATTAGAAAACTGCGGGACTTGTCATGTTTACTATAATTAACTCACAACTAGAGCCAGTCTATCGCATTGCAAATAGTTTTTAGCTTAATCATGCTTAATCTTATTTGTGAAATATTTTTAGTCTCATGAAAATGGTTTTTACATTTTTTTTTTAATTAGTTAGTTTGTGTATATTTTAGTTATGATTATCTATTCATTTGTTATTTTTTATTTTAATGTGGAATACCTGCAAATTAGCTAGTGAGTTTTCTAACTAAAGTGTATTTTACGCAATGAACTAAACTTGACTTGACTTGACTTGATCCCTACCTTGTATAGTCTGTGCACGGCAGCCAGGTTGAGGGAGTCACAGTAAAAATTAATTGTATGAAAATGAAAATTTTTCCCAAAGGAAAATCGTTGTATTCGGTTTACTCCGCCAACATGGCTTCCGCGCACATACTCTACACCCCGGGGCAAGAGAACATAACTCTTGCCCGGGGTTAAAAGAAATGTTTACCAAAAGAAACACCGACCTCTCGAAATCACTTAGGCCTATCGACAATCCGAAGAAATAATGCGTTCTCGGCTTGCTTTGTATAATATAAACTAATTACGATGAGTATTTTCAGCTAGGAACGGTAACTTTCTTGTCGGCTGGCAGAGAATCCAGAGAATCCAACTTTCAAATTAAACCTCCTAGTAAAATCTTCTCTTATCGGGTTGGCACGTGCCAGAGGAGTTTTCTTTCGTGTAAAACCATTTTGGTGTGAAAAATTTCAGACGCAAATAGTTATGACTTTGCAATGTTTATTGCTTGTAAATTTTCAGTATTTTTCCGTTTACGTCAGATGATATATTGGCCCGCTTACATTTGTCTATACAAGGCACAACACTGTGCTGGTTGTTTTCAGTTTATTTAGAAGGCAGGTATTACGGTTTCTTAAGACGAATATGAGAAACATTACCGCTCTTTCGGTCATAATTGTGGTAGTCTTACTGCTGTTAAGTGACGTGGATGCCCGCGGAGGCCGCGGAGGAGGTCGATCATCAAGCGGCAGCCGAGGCAGTCGTGGAGGAAGCAGTGGGACAAGTAGAACAAGTGGAGGGAGCCGCTCAACTGGACGCAGAATCACCAGGACCACGCCGATCACGCCAACCACTTTCCGTACTCCTGTTATCAAGGCCCAAACCCGAAGCGTTTCGCGCACCAAACTATTCACCAAATTCGCGGCTGGCTATCTTGTAACCAGATATATACTGCTTAAAGCTCCAGTTTATCGAGATGGATTTCCAGTGCACGGAAGTTACGTTTCCATTCCAGAAGACCGAGCCGTAAGGGTCTCGACTGAAAGAGTGAGATTACTTGATTCTAATGGAAGCTTGTGCCTGGGACTGTCGCCTATAAACCAAACTCTTGAAGAAGGAATCGAAAACCACCTTTTAGAACTCGAAACTACAGTGAAATACAAGGATAGTCCAGAAAAAGACGAGACTCTTTTTGGCGTCAACAACACAGTTTCACTAGAGGACATCAAGGAAAAGAACTTCACAGTGACAACTCGGGCGCGTTACAATGTTACTGTCTTACAAGACACAAACTGCACACAGGTGGAGACACAATTCAATGGAACAATAGTTCAGTTATATGAATTTAACCCCAACACAGGGAGCATTCTTGGCTTAAATTTTAAGCTCAGTTTGACTTCCTTCTTAATGACTACAATTTTCAACAGTTTTTATAAGGCGTGAACTTTTTATCATTCCAACCTCTTTAAAAGAAGCCTTGAAATCGGTACTTTAACAATAGTTCTGAAACCTGTTCTGAAATAATTTGCACAATTAAAATAAATAGTCTTGCACAGCCGTAACTAGCTGAACTAACATAAGCGCGATTGTACTGTAAACAATTTAAGATCGGGAGATCCCTGACGGGCATAGGCGTACGGGCAATTTTTTGCCAGGGGGGGCGGTAAACTATTTGCCCAAAAAATTCTCGCAAGTTGCCCAAATTTTTACGAAACAGTAGAAAAGAAACGAGGGCCATACGATGCGACAGCGTAGGCCGCACTGGCATATGAAGGTGGCTCGATACTGTAACAGTTTTGCAGGGTCAATACCTCCCAATTTTGAGCATAAATACGTCGCCATAGACAAACATTTGGAATAATTGCTACCATAGTTTTATTAGATATAGACGAAAATTTATCATAGGGTTTTAATGACATCGGAGTTATCATAGCAACGAAATGACGCCATTGTCTATTTTACTTGCAACAATATTTCTTTTCACTGGGAACTGTTCCTACAAAATCGTTCACGGGAACTTTTATCTAGTCGCGTCGATGTTCGTGAAGTTAAAACGGAATCTATAAAAGAGTTATCAGGATATTTTGGGATGAAGTTTTAGAAATATGCTAAAAAAAATCTTGATGTAACTAAATAAATAAATAGTATGTTAAATCTTAAAAACGTATGCAAAAGATCATGGAGATAGCTCCGGCCGATTGCTAGAGAGAAGGATTCCATTTCTTTAGTATGTATCGAGGCGCTCTTGTTAGCGGTTTTGTAAACATTTCGGTCTACTTTAATAAATTATTGCTTGATAGATTATTGAAAAAATTTAATATTCTTCTCGTAATTCGAGCTGAGTACTAGTCAGTCATTTCTTCATTTTCACACACACTGTTGCTGATGCTATCTGGCATGCACTGTTCTACGAGCGGAGATGATTCTAGAGAGATATGCGGAAGTTTATTCTAATCAATTCACGACTGGAAAGAGCCCATTCCAGTCAGTGCATTGCAGTACAGTGCTCAACAATAAAAAACTGTTAATTTGTAAATCAACTATATGATACCCTTCCCTATGACCAGAAACTCACCACGTGCTAAGCAACCACTGTGAGTGTCTCGAGAGAATGTAACTGCATTATTACGCTGACGTCAGGATTTTTTCAGATTAAAATAGAAAATATTTGTCTCTTTAAACTAATAAAAAAAACACGGAAACGTCTTTAAAAAAAGGCTTTGCCCAAATTTTCTCTTGCTGCCCAAAAAATCAGAGTTGCCCAAAATTTGGGGGAGGGGGCTGCAGCCCCCCTCGCCCCCCCGGCCGTACGCCTATGCGGACGGGAGGAAATTCGGATCCTTATGATTCTTATCATCCCGTATATACACTCGTTCAATGGTGAGAATTAAGTTGAAGGATTTCGAGTGTGAAAAGAGGAGTACCGACTCATTAAGGAAGGAGGAAAAAGTAGGTTATTTAAAAACAAAGGGCAAAGTCTAGAAGCCTGTGAACACGCATCAGTTGAACTTCAAACCAGTACCTCTGCGTTAAAAATCAACTTAACCTGATCAAGTCCCAGTTGTTCAAAGGTGGATTATGCTATTCGCCAGATAAGTTTCACAGCGGACGATGAATAAACACATCAGCCTTTCATGAATACAACATGAAAGTGCGCCCTGGTCATTGACGCAAAGTCTATGTTGCCTGGAAACAAAAAATGCCCCATGAACTAACGCTTCATGACGTCAGGGCGGACGCAAAGAGATACATCGAGGTACTTAGTAGGCCAGTTCGCGCTATCCGAGTGACTAGAGGAGGGTTGGAACCGAGCGTGATAGCATGAGTCCTCGGCGAATTTTCCCGGCAAGTATGACAGGTGACGTCACATCCGAAATCGCCGAGGACGGTTGGGAACGTGGCTGGGGGCATCCGATTTTGCAGCTGGCTAAATCCACGAGCGCGACTAGATTATAAACTCGCTTCGCGAGAATTATACTTCAATTTCATATCAAATGAGCTGAAGGACGGTAAATTGAAAACTGTAAAGAGGTTTTGTTCTTCATTCTTTGGCTTTAGACTGGATCCAGAAATGTAGTGAGCGTGTCTAATATATTCCTATTCAGCGTTTTCCTGTCCCTTTTTTCTGCTTATTTCTATGACAAGGTTGTTGCAATTAGGTGTATGAATGAGATGGACACATGTGTGGGAAAAACAAGCAAGAGAAACTAAGAGCTACTAAATGACAGGTTCACGATTTCTATATTTGTCACGAAAATCATGAAAGTGTCACCCCAAAACAGCACTGAAAACACATTAAGACCTGACGTATAGTTTTGCTACAGCGGGTTACGACCATCGGTTTAAATCAACGGATGCTCGTACTCGAAAAACCAGTTTGACGAGAGAGAAAAAGATTGACCAGTCCTGAAGTTTGAGGCCTGGCGATCCAGCCTTGGGTGTCTCGATGCGGTGCCGCGGGCGCATCGAAACACCGAAGGCTGGAGACTGAGCCTAATATCAGTATAGATGGTAATAAATTTACCCCTACCTTATAAAGTCTGTGCGCGGCGGCCAGGTTGGAGAGGTCACAATAAAAAGTTATTTGCAAAAAAAATGAAACTTTTTCCCAAAGGAAAATCGTGTTATTGTTTTACTCCTCCAACATGGCTGCCGCGCACATACTCTGTACCCGGAGTTAAAAGAAATGATTGCCAAAAGAAACACCGACTGGTCGAAATAACTCAGGTGTATCGACAATCCGAAGAAATTTACCAAGTCTTACGCGTTTTCGGCTTGCTTTGGATGATATAAACTAATTAGAATGAACATTTTTGGCCAGGAAACGTAACTTTCTTGTCTGCTGGCCAGAGAATCCAACTTTCAAAATTAAACCTCCTTGCAAAAAACTTCTCTTATCGGGTTTGCACGTGCCAAAGAAATTTTCGTTCGTGTAAAACCAGCCGAGGCAGTAGAACAAGTAGAACGAAGCAGTAGAACAAGTGGAGGGAGCCGCTCAACTGGACGCAGAATTACCACTCTTTGGGTCATAATTGTGGTGGTCTTACTGCTGCTAGATGACGTCGATGCTCAAGGAGGTCGATCAAATTATGCAAGCGGCGGTCAAGCAGCAATGCACGAAGTAGTAGGACAAGAAGAACAAGTGGACGGAGTTGTTCAACTGGACGCGGAATCACCAACCCCAATACAGGGAATATTCTTGGCTTAAATTTTAAGCTCTTTCTGACTTCCTTCTCAATGACTACAATTTTCAACAGTTTTAATAAGGCGTAAACTTTTTATGATTCCAACCTCTTTAAAAGAAGCCTTGAGATCGGGACTTAAACAATAGTTCTTAAACCTGCTCTGAAATCATTTGCACAATTAAAAAAAGTCTTGTATAGCCGTGACTAGCTGAACTAACATAAGCGCGATTGTACTGTAATCAATTTAAGATCTGGAGACTCCAGACAGGAGGCAATTCAGATCCATATGATTCTTATTATCCCGTAATTACACTCGTTCAATGGTGAGCAGTCGAACGATTTAGAGTGTGAAAAGATGAGTACGGATAAGGGGTGGCCGAAGCAGCAGTGGACGAAGTAGTAGGGTAAGTAGAACAAGGGGTCCATCAACTGGACGCAGAATCACCAACCTCAATACAGGGAACATCTTGGCTTAAATTTTAAGCTCATTCTGTGACAAAAGATGAGTACGGATTCATTAAGGAAGGAGGAAAAAGCAGTTTATTAAAAACAAATCATAAGCAAAGTCCAGAAGCTTGTGAACACGCATCATTTGAACTTCAAAACAGTACCTTCGTGTTAAAAATCAACTTAACCCGATCAGGCCCCAGTTGTTCAAAAGGTAGTTTATGCTATTCACCAGATAAATCACTGAAAAATTGGTTTTCCTAATACTTATCCACTGGATAGTGATTTGGACTAGTGATTTATCAGTTGGATAGCGTTATCAGGACTGTCAGTAATTACAAACCGCTCCTGGAAATAACTGATTTGTAAGAGCTTTTGTGGATGTCATTTTATCTCGTGCTGGGCGCTTTTAGGTTGCGCGGATTAAGACTGGGTCGGTGTTTTTTGGGGCGCTATCTTTTCGCTAAATTAAGTTTCTATTGGCCATTGCGATTGCATAGGACTCCCAACTCACATCCAGTCTCGAGCGTCATTAAAATGGCCAATTGACGATGAATTTTGTTACCTCAGTGTTAGCAACCATTGTTGATAAAGATTTATGGGATTAGAACTTTAAGACGTTCGTAAGACGCAATAAATCCCGTCAAAGTAACCCTCTAACTTGTTACATGGCTCCTTTGTTATTACTCTTTCAGTTACCGCGACATTGTATTCGAGCTATAGTTTGATACGGTATATCCAGTTGGTCATTGCATTGTGGCAGGGCTCCACAGGGCTCTGTTTTAGGTCCGATATTATACCTGCTTTGCGAAGTTTATAGTTTTAAGATAGTTTTTACTTTTTAAGATTTTCAAGAACATGTAAGCGCTTTCGGATGCTTGCAGAAAAGACACTCTATAATATAATGATAATAGTGATATACAGCTGGATATAGTTGCTTACTCAATTAATAATTTACTGGTCAATTGCGTAAACTGTAAACTTGAAATAGTGATATTTTGATGAACAGAAACCTTGTTAATCATTATACTGATTTAAGAATCATATTGAGTATCTGGTCTCCAGGAAAATGGCTCGACTTTTACCATCCCCACCATTATTTTGCCGACGACATAAATATCGTGCTTTTGGAAAATACAGTCATTAAAATTCACAGAATAAGCCCTATGTGTCGTACCAAAACGAACAAACACTAACCAGAAAGAATAATAATATTAATTATTTGGGACCTTAAGCAACAACGACGACAATGGTACGTAGTGAAAACATCACTGAAAAAAGGAATTTGCGTCCTTTCAAACTTTATCGCGTCTATTGGGAACCGCTTAATTCGTCAAATGTACGCGACTTTTCCTGGAGTTGAATTCTTAAGGGCTTTACCCTTGTTCAAATAGAAAAAAGAAAATTTGTCGTCGTATTGTCCACGCCCTCCATACAACGTCGCATTGGGAGGTTTTACATCGTAGTCATGCAGTGAACAAGATGTTTGACACCGTGCAGCCGGAATAACTTTATGCTATACCGGGTAGCTTTTAGTGGCGCCACGTGTGTGCAATGGCCCGGGGCGT